AGATACTGTGTATATATATATATATATATATATATTTTTTTTTTCCTCTCCACATTTCTGAAAAAGACCAAACCAACAACTTCAAATAAATATTTGAAAACAAGAAACCAGACTAAAGGTTCGAGACTATGTAAACCCAAAAATAATCATTTACTTACTCTCATTTCGTTCCAGATACTTATTACTTGGAACACAAAAGGTGATGTTCACACTGTAATGAAAGAGAATGATGACCATGGCTGTCTTTGGATATATCCACTTTTATTATATGATTTTTGGGTGTTCTGTCCCAGTAAGAAAGAATAAACAAAATACATAAATCAGATAACATTATCTAGCCAGCCTACGCCCCCCTACAAAAGCTCACCACTAACCTAGTAATTGCAAAGATTCTGGTTTTCATTGTAACAGTATCTTTTCTGACAGAAAAGTTTACTTGTTATTGCTAAGAAACTTTCGCAATTGAGATTTTGAATTGCGTTTTTACTTCCCTACTGTTGAGCTCGATTCAGCAACATTGTACGTTCTATGAACTTCCTCAAGGGTCCATTAAACAGCCACCTGCCTAGAAGCTAAAGATAAGTTCTAACTGCTGGCACTGATGAGAGTGAAGGAGATAATCAAGGGTGCATAAATAATGCAGTTTGACGTCATTGATGAACCTCGAGTCAAAACCAGGAAACTTGCACAGAATCACCAGATGGCAAACATATTTTCATTCCTGGAAAACATCTCCATTACTCAAATGACAAAATGCAGACCGCTCGCTCACGAATGGGAATTTGTTGCCACGAGGAATCCAGCTACATACAGGTGCATCTCAATAAATTAGAATGTCGTGGAAAAGTTCATTTATTTCAGTAATTCAACTCAAATTGTGAAACTCGTGTATTAAATAAATTCTGCTTCCTGCTAAAATAGGAGTCCTCTATCCATAATATTAAAAGTCATCCGATGTATCGGTTTTGCCAATTAATCGGCACAGATAGTTGACTGCTGGAACTATCGGCAAAAATCCATGCTGTTAAGTCTTTCCGGGTTGCGCCCATTGCTGGTATGGCTGAGAAGGCTCCGCTGTCATTATACAGTACTAGAGCGGCCTGTAGAGGTGGAATCACTGATGCCTCTGGCTGTTTGTTTTGACATGTGACACTGCGCGCTGCACAGAGCAGGACAGGGAGAACTGAACATTGAGAACTAAACAGCGTGAACATAGTATACTGTAGTAATACATGAAATGGTAAAACAAACGTCTTAATGATCATTTTAAGGCGTCTTATATTTTGGGGATGGAAAATCATAAATCGCGACACAGCCTATCGATTATTAAACTTCAAAATGATTTCATTAAAAAAAAAGAGCGCTGC